CCTGCCTCTGCCTCCCAGTGCTGGGATTACAGGCATGTGCCAACATAGCCACCTTCGAGGAAGGTTGGGTAGATGGGTTCCTGGACAGTTCCCTTAACAGTGGAAGGGAAGGGGCAACTTAGAGAACTCTGACCCGGTAGTCTGAGGCCATTGCTGGCTTTCAGGATGCAAGAAGCCAGGGATGCTCTGTAATGCCGTCTGTTGGGGAGGCTGAGTCAGGAGGATCGCCACGAGTTCGAGGTGAGCTTGGCCTATAGGACCAGCTCCTGCCTCAAAACGAAAGAAAGAAAGAAAGTGTGTGTGAGAGAGAGAAAAGCAAGCAATCTGGTGCATAATACTGTCCTTATCTGTTGCGAGTTTGTGGTTACATCTCCTCCCTGCAGGGCTGGACTTAGGCTCGGTGATCCGAAACCATTAGTACAGGGTATGGCCTGGCTGCCACTGTGAGCACAGTCCCCACCCAGCTGAGCTTAATGAGAGCTAATGGCGCTGCTGATCGCAATAACAATGTTCCTCGTACATTTCCTGAAATCCCAGGGAGCCAGACCTGCAGCCAGGCTCCTGCCAGGCCAGGCATCCTCCCCCTGCATGTGTGGCTAAGTGAGGGCCCCCAGCACCCCTCCCCAGCCTCTCTCCTCCTCTCTCCTCCCTCCTGCCCTCCGCTCCAGAGCTCTCTATGGCTCCTACTTACCCGCCCCACCCCGCGGGCAATGAAACTCTCTCTTGACAAACTTCATTTATCCCTGAGGGAGGTATGCAAGCCTGGCCGGGCTTTAATCTTCAGATAGCCCCAGCCACCGTCCTGATGGTCCTGATGTATCCGCTCCCTGGCTTTGGCCCTGTGGAGCCCGCATGGCGGCCTCCTCGATTTCCACCTAACTTAACTGTGTCTCTACTGAGCTGCTTCCCTCCTTCCCCCCCTCCCTAACCTCAGTTTCCCCTCTTGTCAAGCAGGCTGGGTGGCTGCCTGGGGGAAGAGCCCTTTGAGGTGTGTTCGTGGCCCTATCGGAGGCCAAGGACGGTTCAGCCAACACAGGACTCCCACCTGCTCCCCTATGGGAGGTTTATTTTCCTCATACTTGTAATAGTTTTGAGTCTTTATATATTTACATGACTAATCTGTGAGGAATTTGTGTTGCTACGTGCGTGCGTGTCGGGGTTGCGTCTATTTTCATCCAAGTGCTTCTTCGTGCTCCTGATTGAGAGGTTTATTTTTTCCCTGCCAACTGAGAAAGTGCCCTTAGTTGGCTATTAAATTTTTTTTCCTTTTTTTTTTTGGAGGGGGGGTGGGAACCGGGGATGGAACTCATGACCTCGAACTTGCCAGGCAGGTGTTTGTGCCGCTGAGATAAATCCTCGGCCTTAAATTATTTCTTCTGCCCGTCATGGTGACACATGCCTGAAATCCCAGCACTCATGAGCCTGAGGCCAGCCTAGACTTTGTAACAAGACCCTGTCTTAAAAAAAAAAAAAAAAAAAGAGGACAGGAGATCCCCCCCCCCTTTTTTTTTATTCTTTATGCTGGGCAAGGAACCCAGAGCCTTATATGCGCTACACAGATGCTGTACCCCTGAACCCCACAATTCAACAATTTGGTCTAAGGCAGCCTCTCTTAGGGAGATGAGAGCAGCCTGTGCAAAGGCCCTGGGGTGGGCCTGGGCTGGGGTGGCTTGGCCAATCAGGAGGCCTGTGAGGCTGAAACAGAACAAGCAAGGGAGAGAGAGCAGAGCTGAGAGCAGCCTGGGGTGGGTCAGGGTGAGACATGGGGCTTCCTCCAGGCACTGTGGGAGCTATGGGTGGTCGCGTCAAGGCAGGGAGGCCTGAGGGATCTGACTTGGGGTCATAGGTGCCTCTGACTGTCAGGCAAGAGGGTGTGGGAAGGGTCTGGAACAAGGCCCAAGGTGGCCATATGGGGCTAACAGGAGGTCTGTGCTGGGCATGAGGTGAGGGAGTGGAGGTGAGGGAGACGGCGATCTCAGCAGCCAAGGCCTGCACACCTGGGATCCCAGTTCTAGGAGGCTGAGGCAGGAGGATCTCAAGTTGGAGTCCAGCAAGTCAGTAAGACCCTGTCTCAAAATTAAAAAGATAGGGGCTGGGGATTTAGCTCAGTGGCATAAAACGCCTGCCTTGCAAGCGCATGGTCGTGAGTTTGATCCCTGGTGCCGATAAAAAAAAAGTTAAAAAGATTAAAAAGATAAAATCAAACCTTCAGTATCACACACACAGTTTGTGTAGATGGTCTTGAGGTAGCAGATGTTCAAAGCTGTCATGGGGACCTGGTTGTGACGTCCTGGGTCAGTATCCCTCAGGGACCATGTGGTTGGAAACAAGAGGCACGTGGCTGGCAGCTAGTGTCCTCCTTCCCCGCTGAGGCTGGGCATGGCTGGGTCTCTGGGCGCCCCAGTCACCTGAGGGCACGGCTGGTGTCTGTGCCTGTTTACTGAGGCCTGATTCCTGCTCTATGGGAAATGCCACAGGTCTGATACCCGAGTCAGTGTCCCCCGGAGTCAAAGAATGAATTCTAAGTAACACTAGGAAAATTAGCCAGGTGTGATGGTGCATGCTTGTAATCCCAGCGCTCGGGAGGCTGAGGCAGGAGGATCACTGAGTTGGAAACCAGCCTGGGCTACAAAGGAAGCTGAAGGCCAGCCTGAACTGCATAGTGAGATCCTGTCTCAAAAAGACAAAAAAGAGAGAGCGAGGAGGAAAATTTATTTACTTGATTCGTTGGTCTTTTTTGGGGAATAGCAGTAGCTCCCAAGAGACAGGAGGGGGCTGAGAGGGTTACCAAGGAGCCCATCTCTTGAAGGAAGTGTTTTTTTTTTTGTTTGTTTGTTTGTTTTTTTTTTTGGTACCAAGGATCAAACTCATAACCTCGAGCTTGCCAGGCAGGTGCTTATGCCGATGAGCTAAATCCCTAGCCAATCAGAGGAAGTTTTATAGAGCAACAGCACGAGACGGGTGCAACATGGGTAAAAATTATGATCAACCAATCAGATTGCAAGCACAGTCACTTAGCTAACATTGACCCAGGGGTAGCAAGAGCCTATGGGTTACATCGCTCACCTTGGTTGATAATCTGAAGTTTTAGTCTTGTGTTTAGTCTTAGTGGCCTAAATCTTAGTGGGTGAGAGAGGATGGCCCACCCCAGCGAGACAATGGGAAATCTCAAAAGGGTGAAACCGGTAACCTGGAACTTCTGTTTATCCCTGAGGGAAGTTTGCAAACCTGGCCCTTGTGACTGTGATTCAGATGCCCCCCAGCCAGTGTCCTGAAGGGCTCTCATCCCCTGTGATGACCCCCTCTAGATCCCAGGCCCTTCTGACTGCCTGCTAGATTTCCAACCTAATTTAGCTGCCTAGAATAGTCCAGGGGTCAAGTGGGGTCGCCCTCCATCAGACTGCTGCTGGGTGGAGCATTTGCTTGAGAGACAAGCTGAGTTAGTGACAGGAGACATACCTGTGGGTTTGGTTTGCTTAGGTTTTGAGGCAGCGTCTTTGTAGCCCAGGCTTTGAATTTGAGTTCCTCCTGCCTCAGCCTCCTGAGTGTTAGGATCACAAGCATGTGCCACCATGTCTGACCCATGCATGATCTTTGATTCTGGGTTTGTTTTATAGTTTTTGTGGGGGAATGTCTTAAAAGAGGTTTTGTTTTTTTTGTTTTTTTTCTCACTACCCTGCCCAGGCTGGCCTAGAATGCTTGTTTCTCCTCCCTCAGCCTCCCGCGCTGAGGTTGGGGTTACAAGTAAGCACCCCGTCACCCTGCTGTTCAATTTCTAAGAGAAGCGAGCCATGCAGATAGTTATTATTTTAACTCTCCAAATTTTGTTTTGTTTTGTTTGTTTTTTTTTTTGTTTTTTTGTTTTTTTTTTTTCTTTTCTTCCTGTTTTGGTATGGGGAATCGAGCTCACAACCTCACACTGGGCAGGCAGGCAGAGTCCCTTCTGCAAATTTTTTTTTTTTTTTCCTTTTTATCCCTACCGGGGATCGAACTCACCACTGCCTGCTTGCAAGGCAGGCACTTATGCCGCTGAGCTAAATCCCCAGCCCCCTCTCCAAATGTTTTAACCTTTGCAAATGGAGATAAAGCTCAGGGCTCCCGCGCTTTGCTAGCCTGTGCATGGCCTGGGCTCCATCCCAACCTGGCAAAAAGAAAAAAAAAAAAAAAAAGTGGAGGAAAACGAAGACCAAAGAGCTGTCACTCTGGAGGCTGAGGCAGGCTTGCTTGGACCAAAGACCGAGAAATAACCACAGAACACCTCACTGGTTGAGGACTTTTGAGCTCCTGCGCTCCGTTCAGTTACCTGAAGTTCCCCGGTGCCTCGGTTTCCCCCTCGCAGACGGGTGCAGCGGAGCCCCCAGCTCGCCGGGCCGGGCCGGGGTGCAGCCGGCCTGTGGGGCGGGGCGGGGCGGGCACCCCGCGCCGCTGAGTGGCGGGAGCAGCTGCGCCCCGCCCCCCGCCGGTCCGACCGGTTCGGGCCGCGCCTCCCGCCGGGGCGGGCTGGCGAGCTGGCCGAGCCTGCGGCCGTGGAGCCCGCCCGGAGCCGCCGCAGCCCCGAGCCGCCGCAGGGATGGGGGGCGACCGGCCGCACTACGGCCTGCACGGTAGGCTGCGCCCCGCCTGCGCCCGGCCGGCCCGGGCCGGCGCCCTCACCCGCTTCCTCCGGCCGGGTACCGTTTGTGCGTTAGTGCCGTCGTTGGTTTGCCTTCCCGGGGCCGCGTAGTGAGGCTGCCCGGCCGCCCCGGCCGAGGTGGCTGGAGCCCTCCAGCCGGTGCCTGCCCTGGCCCGCCCTTCCCGGGATCGGCTCGCCCTCCGGAGCTGGAGCCTGCTCCGGGCGGACAGCTCCGCCCGGGTGTGGTGCCCTGCACGGGACGCAGGTGCCCGGCACTGGCTCCCCGCCCGAAGGCCGGAGCTCCGGGGGCCCAGGGAGAGCAGTCCGCCCCGGGCCCCTTCTGGGTCCAGCTCTCTGACCCATCCGGTGTAAACTTGTTGGCTTTCAGGAACCCCGCAGAAGTATGACCCCACCTTCAAGGGACCCATTTACAACAGGTAAGGGCTGGGAGGGTTGGGGCCGGCCGGGAAGACCTGTGCCCCCACCCCCACCCCGTTTCTGCCTCCTCCCGGCCTTTTGGCACAAAGCGGTGGTGCATATTTACAACTGGGTAGAAGGGCTCATTTCTTTAAAGCACAAAGCCTCCTTACAAATGGGTGTGTGTGTCTGTGTGTGTGTGTGTGTGCTGTGCGGGTGGAACCCAGGACCTCCTCCCGCGCACTTGAGGGAAGTTGCACGCGCTGCCACTGAGCTGTACCCCAGCCCCACGAAGAGTTGTGCAAGAAACACACGGGTGGGGTGTGTGGCCCGAGAGCTAGTGGAGACTGAGGTTAGAGCAAAGAGGCTCAAGGTAGCTAAAAAGACTTACAGGACAGCTTCAAAAGCAGTCACTGGCGTGGACTCCCAGCAGTCTGGGAGGCTTGATTATAAAGAATCCTCGCATTCCGATTTTTAATTTTTGTTGTTATTTTGTTTTGCAGAGCTGGGATCAGACACTGGGAGCACCCACATGCTAGGAAAGCCCATCCCCTGCTCCTTTTGTTTTTTATTTTTAGATTGTTTTTGGAACTGGGAATTGAACTCAGGGCCTTGTGCTTTTTCCGGGCGGGCTCTATGCCGCTGAGCTATAGCCAGGACCTGTTTTAAGACAGGGTCGCACTAAGCTGCCCAGGCGAGATTTGAACTTGTGATCTTCCTGCCTTGGCCCCAAGAGTCCTGCAGGCTTATTTGGGAACAGGGTCCCCTGATTGCCCAGGCTGACCCAGAGCTCCTCCCGAGTAGCAGGCACACAGGCACTGGTCCCTGCACACAGCTGGCACTGTGTTTTGGGGAGGAAATGTGGGCTTTTTTGCAGGGGGACTTCAAATACAAAACCTTCTTCATGCAGCAGTGCCCTTTTGTAATCCAGGACTCTGGGAGGCTGAAGCAGGAGAGTTGCAAGTTCAAGCCCAGCCAGGACGATTTAGTAATTTAGACAGACTTTGTCTCAAAGTTAAAAAAAAAAACAAATTACAAAACACACAGCTCAGGAAACCCACTGCACTGACTGAGTGGCTGTGGGCCCCACTGGGCAGGCCGCAGGGCTCTGACACCCCCCTGTGCTCTCCAGGGGCTGCACAGACGTCCTTTGCTGTGTCCTCCTCTTCCTGGCCATTGTGGGCTATGTGGCTGTGGGCCTCATTGGTGAGTAGTGGACAGGGTGGGGCGGGAGGGCCCTGCTGCCCCCCAGTGGCCCTGCCTCAGTGGTGCTGGTCCGCCCTCAGCCTGGACGCATGGGGACCCTCGGAAGGTGATCTACCCCACGGACAGCCGAGGCGAATTCTGCGGCCAGAAGGGCACGAAGAATGCGTGAGTCTTGAGTCCCCAGGGCCACCGGGGTTGGGCGTGGAACAGGAGCCGGGCTCCCCGGGACCCCCCACATCCATGGTTGCCCAGTCCCTTCTATAGAGGGTGTGTTCATTTATGCAGACTCCATAGACACTTGTCCTGCTGCATAGGTCACCTGTCTCTGGGTGATGTGTGACACAGTACAAATGTTTGTGCTGCCCAAAGGCTGAATGACAAAAAGAGAAATCTGTAGATTTTCTATCTAGAGGGTTTGCTTTTTTTTTTTTAATTCAAAGAGATCCTCCTGCCTCAGCTTCCTGAGTGCTGGGATCACAGCAGTGGGCCACCGTGCCTGCTTCTTACAGTGTTTTGTTTTTTGCAGTACCGGCCACTGAACCTTGTGCCTTTTATTTTTTATTTTGTGTTGGGTCTTGCTAAGTTGTCTAGATAAGATCCTGCCTCAGCTGTCTTTTAATTTCTTTTCTTTTTTTTTAATTTAATTTTTTTGATAGTTCTAGAGATTGAATTCAGGGCTTCAAGCTTGTGCCGTCTACCTCTAAGACACATTCTAAGTTTCATGATCATTAACATCATAAGACTCGGTTCCAGCTGTGGTGCAACCTGTAACCCCAGCACTCTGGAAGCTGAGACAAGATAACTGCAAATTTGAGGCCCGCCTGGGCCATACTGCATGTTGCAGACCAGGCTGGACTTCATAGAGGACCCCCCAGCCCCGTCTCAAAGAAAACAAAAGCTGGGCATGGTGCTGCAGGCCTGTAATCTCAGCACTTGGGGAGGCTGAGGCAGGAGGATTGCAAGTGCAAACAGCCCAGGCAATTTAGTGAGAACAAGTCCCTGCCTAAGAAAACAAAGTCCCGCACTCGGGGAGGTGGCCTGGTCTTTGCAGAAGGCCTAGGGCAGAGTCTGGCATGCAGTAGCAGGGGCTGCTGGTTTTGTTGTTGTTTCTGTGATGCTGTTTATATGTGGTGGCTGAGGTACCTTGACAGTTCTTTCTCCAAACCCAGGAACAAACCTTTCCTGTTCTATTTCAACATTGTAAAGTGTGCCAGCCCCCTGGTCCTGCTGGAATTCCAATGCCCCACTCCCCAGGTACCTTTAGTCCCTCCCCTCGCCCCACCCTGAAAATTTTGGGGTGAAACCCAGTACTGGCCCCACCCCCACCCCCATCCTTCTGCCCTCCTAGATCTGCGTGGAGAAGTGTCCCAACCGCTACCTCACCCTCCTGAATGCCTGGAACACGCCTGAATTTGAGTATTACAAGCAGTTCTGTGTCCCTGACTTCCAGAAGAATAAAAAGGTGAGACCGCGGAGTAACCAGAGGCGGGGTGTTGTCTCGGGGGAATTAACCCCTAGCATTCTCTCTTTTTTTTTATTATTATTATTATTATTTTTGGTCTTTTCCTTTTTATCCGTACTGGGGATCGAACTCACGACTGCCTGCTTGCAAGGCAGGCGCTTATGCCGCTGAGCTAAATCCCTAGTCCCCTTATTTTTATTTTTTCTTATGCCGCTGAGCTAAATCCCTAGCCCCCTTATTTTTATTTTTTGTTGGTTTCATTTTTCAAGACTGAGTCCTGCTGTGTAGTCTGGGCTGGCCTAGAAATCACTAGGTACCCCAGGGTGCCCTCAAGCTCGTGGAAATCCTCCTGCCTCAGCCTCTAGAGTGCTGGCCTCACGGTTGGGCACCACCAAGCCCAGCTTCTCTCTCTTTCTCTTTTTTCTATTTTTTGGTACTGGGAATCAAATTCAGGAACTCAAGATTGCTGAGTCGTCACCGCACCACTGAGCTATATCCTCAGCCCCCTCTTTCTCTTTTAACAGGGTGTGGCCCAGGTGCTTCGGGATGGGCAGTGCCCTGCTGTGCTCATCCCCAGCAAGCCCTGTGAGTCTGGGGTCGCCTGAGCTCAGCCGGGGACTGGCAGTGGCAGCCTGTGGGGCTCAGACTGACCTCTGGCTCCCTGCTCTGCACAGTGGCCCAGAGATGCTTCCCGGACATCCACGCCCACAAGGGGGTCATCATGGTGGGCAATGCGACCACCTACGAGGATGGGCACGGCTCCCGGAAAAACATCACGGAGCTGGTGGAGGGCGCCAAGTGAGGCTGTGGGGGCCCCCAGCCGGGTGAGATGGGGCTGGGCCGGGCCCAGGGAGGGGCTGTGATGGGAGCCAGTCCTCCTCCCCAGGCAGGCCAACGGCATCCTGGAGGCCCGGCAGCTGGCCATGCGCATATTTGAAGATTACACCGTTTCCTGGTACTGGATTGTCATGTAGGTCCAGGGAGCCGGGGAGGTGGGCGGCTGCAGGCGCCTCTCCTGGGCCGCCTGGGGAGAGGGTCGGCTCATGCTGTGTTGCTCCACAGAGGCCTGGTCATCGCCATGGTGCTCAGCCTGCTGTTCATCATCCTGCTGCGCTTCCTGGCCGGCATCATGGTCTGGGTGATGATCGTCCTGGTGATCCTGGTGCTGGGCTACGGTGCGGCGCCCCCTCCCGGACCCTCCCGCCCCTTCCTGAGCTCTGCAAAAAACGCTGTCCACTCCTGCCTTAGTTTTTTGTTTGTTTTTTTTTTGTGTGTGTAGTTCAGACTGGCCTTGAAATCATTATGTAACTCAGGCTGGCCTCAAACTTGTAGCAATTCCCCTGCCTCAGCCTCCCAAGCGCTGGGATTACTGGCGTGCACCACTGCATTCACCCTGCATTTTTTGTCTTCTGAGACAAGGTCTCACTCTAGGTTCAGGCTGGCCTCAAACTCACAGCCTGCTGATTGCTGGGGTTGCAGGCATGTGCTCCCCACCCCTGATGGAAACGCAGCTGTTGGTAGCTTTCTGCAGCAAGCCCTTCAGTGTTTTATCAACAGCCAAAGGCATTCCCATGCAGGCTTTTTTTGAGGCAGGGTCTCACGGTCTCCTAGGCTGGCTTTGGACTGGTGATCCTCCTGCCTCAGCCTCCTGAGTAGTCAAGCAGGTTCTTTAGCGAGCGCATTGGAATGCATGCTCTGGCGCCCGAATCCCAGGACCACATCCACACTCCACCCCTTAGTAGCTGAGTGTCCCTAGGCAAGTGAGTAAGCCTCACTTTGCCTCAATTTCATCCTGCACTTCATGGGATAATTAGTACTTACTGCTTGGGAGGCTTGATGAGAGGAGAGAGCCCGTGAGGATAAGCCCGGGCAGAGCTGTGTAGCTCACACTGTGGGGACCTGAGGCCTGGCTCGTAAACCGGTGCTTCATCCCCTGATCATTCATGGCAACTTCCAGGGGGACAAATTCTTGGCCACCCAATCAGAAGGAAGACCTGAGTATCCAAATGTTCGTACTGGCCAGTCGCAGTGGTCCACACACTCACCTGGAATAAATCCCAAAGTCAAAGAGCTTCATTTTTTCCTTTTATTTTTATATTTTTGCAATATGGGCGATTGAATCTGGGACCTTTACACTGAGTTCCGTCCCCAGCCCTTTTTAGTGTTTTTCTGAGACAGGGTCTCACTAAGCCACTAAATTACCCCATGGTGGGCTTGAATTTGCAGTCCTCCTGCCACAGCCTCCTCAATGCTGGGTGACAGGAGTGCACCACCATGTCCAGCTTATAGTTTTTTTGTCTTTTTGTTTTTCTTTTTTTCCAGCTTATAATTTTATTTTACGGAGAGCTAAGGGCAATGCTGAAAATCCTTAATGCTGTCCCACTTCTGGTTCACACCCAAGATGCGTTCATTGATTCATTCATCAAGCATGCACCAAGTGCTGGCTCAGCCAGCTTTCCAGGCACTGAGCTTATAGCAATGGGCAAAACAGGATAAATACTTGTTCTCCAGTAGCTTGTGCTCCTAGGGGTGCAGGGGATTCAGGTGAGAAACAAACCTGGAACACCTCTAGGATATAAGAATGAACAGCGAGTACAAAGGTCCTGAGGCACAGGAAGCCTCAGTCTTTGTTTCTGTTAAATGAAGGTTAAGGAACCAAGCATCGTGGCCTGTGCTTGTAATCCCAGCACTCTGAGAGGCTGAGGTAGGAAGATCTCCAGTTCAAAACCCACCAGGGAAACTTAACAAGACACTGTTAAGAAAAATACACCTCAGTGTGAGGGTCTTGGGTTTTATTCCCCCCACCCCCAAAAAAAAAAACAGGGGTAAGGCTGGCGAGGAGCAATGGGCTGAGGCCATGGCTATGTGCAGGGATATTTCACTGCTACATGGAGTACGCCCGCCTGCGCGGGGAGGCCGGCTCGGACATCTCGGTCCTGGACTTGGGCTTCCAGACGGACTTCCGGGTGTACCTGCACCTCCGCCAGACCTGGCTGGCTTTCAGTGAGTCGCAGCCCCTGGTCCTGCCCCCCGGGGTCCTCAGAGGGGCTGGGCAGCCACGTAGCTGTCTCGGCCCCTTGCAGTGATCATTCTGAGCATCCTGGAAGTCATCATCATCCTGCTGCTCATCTTCCTCCGCAAGCGGATTCTCATCGCCATCGCACTCATCAAGGAAGCCAGCAGGTCGGGGCCGGCTGGGGGCGCTGGGGGCCAGTGGGGCGTCCTATCCCCAGGGCTGCTCCAGCCCTGATGCCCGTCATTGCTGTCCCCCAGGGCCGTGGGATACGTCATGTGCTCCTTGCTGTACCCCCTGGTCACCTTCTTCCTGCTGTGTCTCTGCATTGCATACTGGGCCAGCACTGCTGTGTATCCACCCGTGAGCCCAGGGGGGCACATGCAGCTGGAGGCAGGGCTGGGCACTGGGAGTTAGCGGATCCTTTCCCAAAGCCCCTGGCGTTCCCAATCCCAGACCCCAGATTCCTTAACAAGCCACCAGCTTCCTGTCTACTTCTAACGAAGCTGTCTATAAGATTCTGGGCGATTCCTCCTGCCCACATCAGGGGCAAACGTGCCACCCTGAGGTAGGTGTCCCTGGGGTAGGAGGGCAGGTGATTATTATTAAGCAAACACTTGGTGCCTTCTTTCTGCCGCGTGCTGGGTGTGAGGAGGCACAGAGACCAAGAGGCACCAAACTAAGATCTGTCACCCTTCTTGGGGAAGCCAAGGACTGATCAGCTTAGCCTGTGTCCTGCTCTGGGGGAGGGGACACCTCCTTTTTTGGCGTGGTGCTGAAGATTGAAGCCGTGGCCCTTGCACTGAGTTCATCCCCATCCCTTTTAAAGATACTGTACTTGGGGGGCTGGGGATTTAGCTCAGCGGCATAAAAGCCTGCCTTGCAAGCAGGAAGTTGTGAGTTCGATCCCTGGTACCGATAAAAAGGAAAGAAGACAAAAAAAAAAAAAAATTACAGTACTTGGACAGTGTCTTGCTAAGTTGCACAGTCTGGCTTCAAAGCTGTACCTGCTTCAGCCTCGCAGAGTTTACAGGCTTGTACACCATGTCCAGCTCCTCTTTTCCCGTTTGACTTAATTCACTGCCCTACATCCTTTTCTTGGCTTTTATAATGGTCATTCTCATTTCTAGAACTCTCTGCCCTCTGCCCTTGTCCTGAACCCCTAATTAATTTCTTGACTTTCCTCTAACCCCCAAGACCTCTGTTTTATCCCCTGATCTCTGATGATGATGCCATACATCCCATCCGGGATGCACAGGTCCTGTCTTGACGCATCTCTGTGCCCCTCCCTCAGACCTTCTTCAATTCCACTGAAGCGCACGCGTGCCCGAACGCCAGATGCCAGTTTGCCTTCTACGGCGGTGAATCCGGCTACCACCGCGCACTGCTGGGCCTGCAGATCTTCAACGCCTTTATGTTCTTCTGGCTGGCCAACTTCGTGCTGGCGCTGGGCCAGGTCACCCTGGCCGGGGCCTTCGCCTCCTACTACTGGGCCCTGCGCAAGCCAGATGACATGCCGGCCTTCCCGCTCTTCGCTGCCTTTGGCCGAGCGCTCAGGTAGGCCAGGATTGCGGGACGGCATGGGGCGAAGGAGTTCTGGCCGGGTCGCTGACATTCCCGTTTTGGCAGGTACCACACCGGCTCTTTGGCCTTTGGGTCCCTCATTCTCGCCATTGTGCAGATCATCCGAGTGATTCTGGAGTATTTGGATCAGCGCCTGAAAGGTGTGGCCTGTGCCCGGCTAGGATTGGCTATCACAGAGCGAAGGGGCTAAGAGATCAGCTATGATTGGCTCTTCCTTGGGTGGTGGGTGGGGCTCAAGGAGCGGGATAGTAATTGGTTTTCCTCTCCTGAAGGGCTTCTGTGATTGGTTCTGGTGGTGGAGAAGCTGCTGAGCTCACCGAGTGGGATTTCTAGAGGCCTGACTTCTCCTAGAAGGGTGGCGCTGAGGATATTTTTTTTTTTCTCAGAGAAAGTCTGTGGAGTTTGTTTTACATTGGGAGTGGGATCAAGAAGGCCACAAGCATTGGCTTGTGCTTGGGAGGTGGGGCTTAGTAGCAGTGAGTGGTTTGATTGGGTTTTACCTTGTAAGCTGGACTGAAAGGCTTTCTGATTGGCTGTGTGTGGAGGGCTGAGGGCTCTGGATTTTGGCTTCTTTTTCCGTCTTTTTGAGTGGGTGGTCCCTGAGAGTCCTGGACTGTGGATAGTGTGCGTAATAAGGAGTCAGGGGTCTCTGCCAAGCTGGTCCATTCGCTTGTCACTTTGGCATCATTTTTAGGTTTTGGAGGATTTTTCTGGTCTTTTTGAGACAGGGTGCAGTCAGGCTGGTCTTGAACTGACTTTGTAGCCCAGGCTGCTCTGGAACTTGCAATGATCCTCCTGCCTCAGCGGCCGAGTGCTAGGATGATAGGCATGCGACACCACGCCCGGATCACTTTGGCATCCTTTCCCTTCTCTTCCAGCTGCGGAAAACAAATTTGCTAAGTTTCTCATGACCTGCCTCAAGTGTTGTTTCTGGTGCCTGGAGAAGTTCATTAAATTCCTCAACAGGAACGCTTACATCATGGTGAGTGGGCTGGGGACCCCAGCTGCCCCCCTCCCCACGTGTCCACCCAGCAGCGCTGACCCTTGCTCTTCCCGCCTCCAGATCGCCATTTATGGCACCAACTTCTGCACCTCGGCCAGAAATGCCTTCTTCCTGCTCATGAGAAACATCATCAGGTCAGGGCTGAGCCCATCACCTTCTGGCCTCCCTCCTCACCCAGTCGCCAAGTCCACAGCACTCACTGGTGTCCCTCATTGTCCCCTGCAGGGTGGCTGTCCTGGACAAAGTTACCGACTTCCTCTTCCTGCTGGGCAAACTCCTGATCGTGGGCAGCGTGGGTGAGTGTGGTCACCCAGACTGCTCAGAGCCACTTCTGAACTTTCATCAGGCCCCGGGCCTCCTGCCGTGGCATCCTGCAGGGTGGGAAGGAGGCCCTTTTCCTATAGCCAAACTCAACTCTCGGCTCTGTCCCCGCCCAGGGATCCTGGCTTTCTTCTTCTTCACCCATCGCATCAGGATCGTGCAGGACACAGCGCCGCCTCTCAACTATTACTGGGTCCCCATACTGGTATGGACCTTTCAGTCCAGGCCCCAGCAGGAGGGTGGCCTTTCAGAGAACAAGGCTTTCTTGCAATGCCAGGACTGCGGGAGGTTGAGGCAGGAGGATTACAAGTGCCAGACCAGCTTGGGCAGCTTAGTGACTTAACAAGACCTTCTCAAAAGAAAAAGGGCTCCAGGCCCTTTAGTGAAAGGCCTGGGTTCAGTCCCCAGCCCAGAGGAAAAGAGAGAGATAAGGGGAACGAAATGACAGGGCTGTGGAAGGGCTGAGTGGCCACACTGAGGACAATATAATTCTTTGAGTCCAGTGACCTGGATTTTTATCTTACTTCCTCTATGTTCGAGTTCCAAGATGAGTAATTCTGGACAAGTACGTTAGGTGGCTTTCCAGCCTCAGTCAACAGATGTTTATCACATAGCCTGGGAGTCTCCAGATTGCTAGGGATGTAGCAATGCATGTGGTGACATAGTCCAGTAAGGATGTGTGCATGAAATGCACACGCACAATCCCTTTAACAGGAAGCCTGAGTTACGATGACGCACAATGACAGGAAACTATAAAATAGGTTCTTGGGGTCAGCAGCAACTTCGTGGAGCAAGTAATACCTGAGGATCTGAAGCCTGAAGTTGGAGCCAAAAGCAGCAGCATGATAGGGCACAGACTAGACTTCAGTTAGGGCAACAGCATATGCAAAGTCCCTGAGGTTACAGAAAGCAAAGTTTGTTACAGGAGTGAGGGGGCCCTGTCCACAGGGGAGTGACATGCCATCTGAGGGACATGTTGGGTAGGGTTTGCTCTGGACAGGAGCTGGATCACAAACTCACTCTGTTGCCTCTCTCTGCCAGACAGTCATCGTCGGTTCCTACCTGATCGCCCATGGTTTCTTTAGCGTCTATGGCATGTGTGTGGATACGCTGTTTCTCTGCTTCTGTGAGTGACCTGTCCTGCACCCCCAGTCCGTATGGGGCCCCCAACCCTTGTCCTTACCGAGTCTAACATCTCCCTCCCCTGGGACCACGCTGCCACCTGCCTCCCTGGGCTCTGGCTGTCCCCGAGCTGGGCCCCAGCATGCCTTCCCGGCTTCTCACTGCTCGAGCTGCTGAGTCCTGCTGTCCCCTGGCCTTGGCTACAGCTGGGTCACTGTCCCCTTGGGCCCTCGGCTTTGGAGTTTCTGGCTTTCCTGGGGTGTAGGTGGGGATCTGTGGCTGCCACTAACTCTGGACTCTTATCTGTCTGTTTTTTGTTTTGTTTTCTCTTTCTCTTCCTCTCCTCCACGCCTGCCGACCTCCCTGTCCTCCCCTGCCTCCCTCTCTTCCCCCCTTTTTTCCTGCCTCTCCCATTTCCCCCCTGCCGGTTCCTGGGGGGCCCAGGTGAGGATCTTGAGCGGAATGACGGCTCTCAGGAGCGACCCTACTTCATGTCGCCCGAGCTGAGAGACATCCTGTTAAAGGGGAGTGCGGAGGAGGGCAAGCGGGCGGAAGTCCAGGAGTAGACAGTGAGGGACACTGGTACGCGGGGCCAGGCGACCCCGTGGACATGACAGAGGGTGCATGCGGGGTTCCCTTCCTGCTCGGGGATCACGCTGCCCGAGCTGGGCCCACTGCAGGCTGCCCTCTTTGGTCCCGGGTGTCTCGCTCGCTTTCTAACCCTCCGTGTCTTCTGTGTGGCCCTCGTCCCCTGCCCCTTCCCTGGTGGCCTCTGTCCATGGGCTGCATCTCACGCCGCCTGCTCTGGGCCTCTCTCCACAGTGGAAGATCTGGAGCGGAACAACGGCTCCTCCGAGAGGCCTTACTTCATGTCTTCCACCCTCAAGAAGCTCTTGAATAAGACCAACAAGAAGCCGGTGGAGTCCTAAAGCCAGGGACGGTGGAGCATGCCTGTGATCCCAGCACTTGGGATGCTGAGGCAGGAGGGTCTCTGGGGATTCCAGGCCAGCCTGGGTATCCAGTGAGCTGAAGGCCAGCCACCTTCAGCAAGCAAGCAGGCAAGCAGATGCAAAAAGAAACTGAGAGAGCTCTCAAGGCCCCACTCCTCCCGCCTCCCAGGACCGATGCTCCCGTGGTGCTCGCTTGGCTGGAAGTCTGATCACTGCCTATCTGCCTTCCGCCCACCATCCAGTGTCTGCCAGTTCCTGGGGTCTGGAGGATGTGGGGCATCGCCTCTAATTAAATCCAGAGGCCCTCGGTTTTCCAGCAGCCCCACAAGCCTGGGGTAGAAGGAGTCACTCCAGCTGGGGACATGCCTCCAATCCCAGCACTGGGAGGCGGGGCAGCAGGCTCGCTGTGCCTTCGAGGCCAGCCTGAGTGACAGCATAACCTGTCTCGAAAAACCAAACAAAGCAAGCAAGCAAGAAAAAAAGTCACTCCAGCCCTTCTGGCCTGGCTGGGGACAAACCTCTGGGACGGGACGTGCCTGGGCCTCTGTTGGCTGCTTCAGGCTTCCTGTCACCCCTCCTGGAAGACAGACAGACAGTGGGAAGGGACCGAGGTCCTGTAGGAGGAGCAGCCGGCCGCCCTGCGCTCCAGACTCCGAACCGGACCGAAGCTGGCTGCCACTGGATGCATTTATTCTTTTCTAGCCTGGACAGGCATTAGAGGGGCTCGTAGCTTTTATTCCCGTCTCCACGGCTGGACGGAGCCGCCAGGCAGTGCCTTCACTTGTGGCTGGGGTGGGGCCGGGGGCGGGGGCAGCTTGGCGGGGCTGGAGATATTCTTGGCCTACGTGGGAGGGCACAGGCCGGCCAGTTTCCCATGCTGCGCCCTTGGTAAGAGGAAAGACCCTACGCAGGGAGGATTCAGGGGCCAAGGTGGTTGTGGGGAGCTCTGCCCAGGTCCCTCACGCCTTGGGAATCCTTATGCCAAACTTGTTAAACTGAGGGGAACTGGTTGTGGGGGTTCCCCTTCACCTGCCATATCCCAGTCTCAGCCCCGCCCTGCCCCTAGGCTTAATGCCTCTGCACAATCCACTTGATCTTAGCCAGTTCCCACGGGGACCCCCATTTCCTGTGCCTGCAGTCAGCCACCATTGTCGCCATCTGGTCCCCACAGCCCTAAGCATATATAACTGCATTCCAACCACTAATAAAGTGCCTACCATACCGGTCCCAGCCTGGTGTGTTTCTGGGGGGGCAACAGGCAGCTAATAGGGGGAGCCCCGGCATGCAAGGGTCAGGGATGTTCTAGGCTGAGCGCACTTTGCAAAGGGGAGGAGGGGCAGGAAGCCCACTGTCTGGTGGCCTGGATCTGGGCCCCGCATTCCACCAGGCAGGCAGCTCGGGTTTCTCCCAAAGGCGCATGGCTAACAAACGGCCCTTTTATTTTAAGCTCCGGCCCCTGACGCTGAGGAGGTAGCCACCCACTGTCCATCTCCTAGCCAGTGTCAGGGCGTCTCCCCACACTTTATACGCGGGTGCCCCTTCCTGGAGGCCCCAGGGCTTTGGCCCGCGGCTGTGCAACCACGTGGGGGTGGGGGGAAAGGGGTTCCCGCACCCGGGTATGAGCTCGCTGGTGCCCCTGGTGGGCACTCCTGTCCTTACCTCCGGGCCATCCGGTGGGGGCTGTTACCATGCAGACTTTCCTTTCTTGACTGGCCCTGGAAATGGGTCCTGACCACTTGTTCTTAAGAGGCCATGGTGGTGTCACTGTTTCTATTTTTTATCTTGATGCTAAAGGTCGAATCTAAGACCTTGAATATGCTAAGGATATGCTGTATTTTTTAAAAAAATACTTAGTTTTTAGAGATAGGGTCTGGCTGTATAGTCCAGGCTGACTTTGAACTTTGTAGCCCAGGCTGGCCTCAAACTTATGGCAGTCCTGCCTCAGTCTCCTAACTACTGGGATTACAGGAGTGTACCAGCATGTCTATGTAGTTTAGTCTGGCCTTGAACTCACTATGTGGCCCAGACCGGCCTTCATCTTGCAGAGATGCTCCTGTCTCAGCCTCTTGGGAGTAGCTCGGATTTCTGCATCACCTCACCCAGCTTCCTGTCAACTATACTTTCTTGGCATCCTTGTAAGATTAGCTTTGTGGGGTGGAGGATTTAGCTCAGCAGCATAGTTCCTGCCTGGCAAATGCAAGGTCCTGAATTCGACTTTCAGAACAAAAACAAAAACAAAATGATTAGTTTTGGGGCTCTCAGATACCAAACTGCATGTCGAAGTCCCTTATATAAAGTGGCATATTTGCTGAAATCCTACATCGTGCTCCCAGCAGACTTTAAACCATCTCTAGATGACTTTAACACTGGATACAAGCTGAGCATGCTGGTGAACACCTGTAACCCAGCCTGTGGAAGGCTGCTGCAGGAGGACCCTTGCAAGTTGTAGACTAGCCTGCGCTACAAAGTGAGTTGAAGGCCAGCCTGAACTGCACAGCGAGACCCTGTCTCAAGAAAAAAAGAGGAGGAGGAGGAAGAGGAAAGGAGGAGGAGGAGAAGAAAATGAAAAACGACACAGCGTGCTAAGGAAAGTCTCCATTTATTTAATTTTTAATTTTTACTTTTGGTCCTGGGACTCCGCTCAGGGCCTACACTTCAGGCAGGCGCTGTGCTGCTGAGCTGTAGCCTGGGTTCTATTTACTTATGTTCTGAGACAGTGTCTTGGGGTGTAGTACAAACTGGCCTTGAACTCACTATATCCTAGGGTGGCCTCAAATTCGCAATGATCCTCCTGCCTCAGCCTTCCCAGTCCTGGGATTTTTAAAAAAATTGATGAGCATGTTTTAGTACATAATGATTACATTCATCATCAGGAGATGGCCCATGGATTAACACCTCTTAGTTCTCATTTTGCAAGAACCCAAGGGGGTGCATTCCAGTCCTCTTTTTCATTTTGAGACAGTTTGGGTCTCCAACTTTTGATCCTTCTGCCTGGCTTCCCAGAGTTCTAGGCATGTGCCTCCATGCCTGGTGCAACATATGGCAATTTTGTTTTGTTTTTTCTTTGAGACAGTTTTACTATGCAGTTCAGGCTGCCCTGGAATTCAGTGTGTAGCCCAGGCTGGCCTCCCACCACAGCAGTCCTCCTGCCTCAGCCCTCTAGGTACAGATTACAGGTGTGGCCCACCAGACCTGGTTTCAACACATTTCATTTCTTTTTTTTTTTCGTACCAGGAATTGTACCCAGCATCTCATGCTTGCCAGGTAGGTCTTGTGCAACTGAACTAAACTGAGCTTAATTTTTTTTAAACACATCTTAATTTTTTTTTTTTTTTTTGTCTTTTTCGTTTTTATTAGTACCAGGGATGGAACTCACAACTGCCTGCTTACAAGGCAGGCGCTTATGCTGCTGAGCTAAATCTCCAGCCCCTTACTTTTTTTTTAATGGTACCGGGGATCAAACTCAGTCTCACGCTTGCCAGGCAGGCCCTTACACCGCTGAGCTAAATCCCTGGCATGTGCTCTCTTGTCTTTTGTCTTTTTCATTTTTATCGGTACCAGGGATCGACCTCCAGCCCTCTCTCTTGTCTTTTTGAGACACTCTCACTATGCAGTTCAGGCTGGCCTTGAGCTCACTTTGTAGCCCGGCCAGGCTATGCTTTTCCTGGAATCCAAGGAGACTGCAAGTGTATGATTGGAGTCTGAGCTGGACCCTAAAAAATGAGCAGTTGGCCTGGAATGGTGATGAACACCCAGCATCTTGGTACTCTGGGAGGCTGAGGCAGGAGCACGGCAAGTTTAAGTTCAGCCTAGGCAGTTTAGAAATGTAAAGCGATTCTATCTCAAAAGAAAAATATAAAAACACAGTTGGCCAGGGATATAGCTCAGCGGCACAGTGCCTGCCTGGCAAATGTGAGGCTGTGGGTTCAATCTCCAGTACCAAAGCAAACAAAATAAATCCCCAAGAACAATAAAACACCACAGTCGGGGATGGAGTTCAAAGTGGTAACACCTCCAGGACCACAACACAAAAGCTGGCAGCCACAAGTCGCGAGAATTCCTCATTTCTCTTACCTTGGCATCTCTAAGTCTTGTGGGAGATGAGAGAGGGCAAGGAACTTCACAGCTGCGATCCCACACTAGGGAGGCCGGGGCAGGAGGAGTGTCCATTAAGCCCAGCCCGGGCCACAGATAAATGAGTTCCAGCACCTGCGTGCCGGGGCAAGAGAAGGCCGGAGATCTGCTGATTTGAAGCCAACCTGCGCTACAGACTGAGTTGGAGGTCGGGCTGATTTATGTAGTGACTCTGATTTTTTTCTGAGTTCCTGTTGTATGGAGTATTACTTTCTATCCTTTGACTTTTTGTCTCCATTAAAAAAAAGCAAGAAAAAGGTTTGGATTTTGGAAATCTTCAGAATACGGAGCGGACGAGATTAATCCCGCGGGGGACCGGAAAGCCCGGGGGCGCGCAGGCGCGGAGGGAACGCCGAGGGGCGCCCCGGCCAGGGGTGCGATTCAGCACCCGCGCTGCAGGGGGCGCGCTCCGCCCGACCCGCCCTCAGCGCCAAGCAGTGAATTACACTCCTCTCTCCGGGTGCAGGCGCCCAGCTCTCGGTTTTAATGTTTATTATTGTGTGTTTGCAGTATACAGTGGCTCCACTCAACGTGTGCAGTTGGTGTGTACAGAACACCTCTCAATTCTTTTTTCAGAGTGGGGATTGAGCTCAGTGGCACAAACGTCTGCCTGGCAAGTTTGAGGTCTTGAGTTCGATCTCCGGTACCAAAAAAAAAAAAAAAAAAAAAAAAAAAAAAAAAAAAAAGGTCAATTTTTTGTCAACCCTTCCCCCTCCCTCGTTTGATTCCACTCCCAACCCTTTTGTTTACTGTTGTCTTTGAGACAGGGTGTCCATATGTAGTTCAGTCTCGAATTCACTGTGAAGCCCAGGCCTTGAACTCACTGAGGTCATCCTGCCTCCGTACGCCGCCACCACGCTCACTTGGCTTCATGGAAGTTGTTTTGAGTCGAAACCTGTAATTCTTGTTTTGTCTTACACGCTCCGCCACACTGGCTACCCGGTGCTCATATTTTTTTAAATTTTTTTTTTTTTTTTTTGTACTAGGGATCAAACTCACGACCTCGCACTTGCTGGGTAGACGCTTATGCTACTGCGTTAAATCCCAGGCCCTCCCCAGCGCGTAGTCATGTCCCTGACCGCGCCTTTCTGAGTCTGGACCCTTCCCTGTGAGCTGAATTAGAGGAAGGAATCCCAAGAGCATCTTTGGCGGGAGTTCAGAAGCTCCCTCCTGAACGCTAGTCAGGAAAGGAGAACGCATCCTGATATGCCACTTGGGGGCGCTGTGAGCCCAGGCAAGTTACTTGGACACCGCTCAGAGGCCCTGCTGGTCTCTGGGCTTCCTTTAAGGTTGTATGTTACAGCCAATTGCGGAGCTTTTTGTACTGTACTGCACAAATACTGTATTGTACTGTACTGGGTCGCATCCCCAGCGTTTTTTTTTTTTTTTTTTTTGACTCTTTCCTTTTTATCGGTACTGGGGATCGAACTCACGACTACCTGCTTGCAAGGCAGGCGCTTAAGCCGCTGAGCTAAATCCTCAGCCACACTCACAGCATTTCTCCTGTCTCAGCCTCCGGAGCGCTGGGATTATGCAGGTGTGCACCATCACGTGTCCTTTTTATACAGGAGCTGTTTTAAACTGTCTCATTGGCTTGTTTTTGTGTTTAATGTTGGGTGCGTTCTTCACCTAGTAAACTCTTTTTTTTTTTTTTTTGTAATGGGGATCAAACTCAGGACCTCATGCTTACCAGGCAAACACTTGAGCCAAATCCCCAGCTCAGTAAACACATTTTTGAACTTCAACTTCTGGTAAGGAATCCTGGAACCTTCTAAAGAACAGCCTGGTATCTCTTAGCTTGCTTAGCAGTTACCCTTGCAGAGGTCCAACTGGACCCTGGCAAAGAACGGGGATACCGGAAGGATACTGGGAGTTTCACGTTTCCTAGGAAGATTCAACTGTGGTGCTGTTGCTGGTCCCCCCCCCCCTACATGGTCTTGCTACACAGCTCAGGTTGGTCTTGAAAGCGGTAATCCTCTGGTTTCAGCCTCCCGACTGTTGTGTTTACGGGTGTGAGCCGCCTCGCTTGGCTCCACAACACGGAGGTCCAAACATGGGGGAGGCTGAGGCAGGAGGATCGCTCCAAGTTCGAGGCCAGCCCAGAATACACATTTCAAGGCCAGTGTAACTAATATGGAGACCCCGTTTTAGAAACAAAAGGGGCACGCCTGTCATTCCCAGCAGTAGGGACGCTGAGGCTGGAGGACTGTCCGGAGATCACGGCCAACCTCAACGACAGAGTGAGCCCTTATCTCCAAACACCGAAAGAACCAACGCGGCAGGCCACCGGTGCCTTTAGTTTGGAGCCGAGCAGACCGGACTCCCGTTCACCTCCTCCCCGAGCCGGCGAGGGACCCTGTACTCTTCTTGGGTCTGAGCATCAGTTTTTCCAGGTGCCAGAAACCCGAGGGTGAAGCGGCTCCAGGATCACGTCCACTCGCCTGCGCCTTTGGCGGCCCCGGGCGGGCTAGAGTCAAGCGCTGCACCCCGCAAGGCTGAAGCACCCCGGCGCTGAAGAACTGGGGTGCTCTTCGGTGCTGGGCTGAAACTCCAATAAGGAGCTCGGCCCAGCCTCTCGGCCTCTAGCAGAAGACGAAGGGACCGAAGTGACCCCTCCGCATCAGAGACGTAAGGCCCGCGGGCTACCGATTCCCAAACTGATGCACACACGTGCCACACAGTGAATCGTTTCCGCCAACGTACTCATGGCGACGGGGCTAACATGGCGGCCGCGCAGGCGTACAAACGCGCAGTGGTCGCGAGGGCGGCCCCTCGCGTCTCACCGTGCGTCACGTGGCAACAGCCGCTCGAAACCGCCATTGAAAAATAAGAGAGGCTTTTGTCACGTGATTAAGGCCTCCCAGTAGAGAGAAAATAAGGCCTAAAAAGCCTCTGTCACGTGGCTGACTAGGATGGAGAAGTCTCCCGTGTCACGTGACTATGCGGCACCAACCGTCTGGAAAAGCCTGGTACTGGAGCCACGTGACCAGTTACGAGATGCCTACGTGCACACACGCACGAGGACACGCCCACTTTCCCGCTTTTCGCCCCGCCCTCTCATTAGGGTTCGGCCTGCGTCGTGCGGCTACGCGACGGTGAGGAGGCGGGGCTCGAGCCAGTCACGTGGACCCGCACCTCCCTGGCGCGCGCCCGTCCGCCAGCCCGCTCGCCCCCGGCTCCTCCTCCTCTTCTCGCCATTGCAGTTGGACTCAGCAGCCCGGCGCGTACCGCGTGGCTTTTGGAGGGAGACCCCGGTGGGCTTTGGCAGGAGGGAGGAGGTGGCGGCGGCTGGTGTCGGGGAAGGGGACGCCGAGAAGGTAAGCGTCAATGTGGCGGCGCTCCGGCCCGCTCCCGCCTCTGCCCCTCCCCCCGTCCGTTTTCCCTCTCAGCGCGGTCTCGGCTAAGCGTTGGCGGTGACAAGGCTGGTGACGCTTCGCAGCCCGGTCCTCCGCCTTCCTCCTCGCCCTGGCGCCCGCCTGCTGCTTCCTGGGCCCGCGTCGCTCCCGCGCTCGGCCGTTAGTCTCCCCCATTGTGCCGAGGAAACAAGATGGCGGCGACGGCGGCGGCGAGGGCCCGGTGCGCGCGCATCCGCCCCCCCACGCGTGGCCCCTCAGCCCACGGGGTGCGCGCGCACCGGACCCCCGGCCGCCGCTCCTCCAGGCCGGGCTTTGTCTGTTGCTGTGCCGCGCGCAGGCGCGCACGTGCCTGGCGCACACACCCCCTTGGGCTCGGAGCATCCTTGGCCGCCTTGGCCGGGGGGACCCCCGTCTCCCCCTTTGTCCCGGGCCTTCCCCGGTGCCAGGAAGGTCCCGGTTCTCGAGGCGGGAAACCGCCGCTCCTTTGTCCTCCACGGGGCACGGAGAGACGCAGCCCCCCTTCCTGGAAGCCCCTTCCCTTGGAGAATTACAGAGGAAGCCTTTGTGGGTCCGTTTGGTTCGCAGATCTATGACCCGTAGGCCTCCCCCGGATCAGGCTCCAAGCTTAGGAGGGTTTGCTTTGCCTTTTCTTTGGGTGATTTGATTTTTATTGATGCTGAGTGTTTTCCAGGCTGCTTAGGATTTTCTTTCTGCCCAAGGGTGGTGTGGTGTGGTGTTTTAGGCCACTGAAATCTGTAAGATGGGGGCCAAAACGTGGGTGCTTCAAGGCTTTTGTTTTTTTCAAGTAGTTAAGTGAGGAAAATTTTTGAGGATACTCATATGAGGTTCCACCTCTGGTTGAATGTCCACCTGTCCTTGTGCTGTTCGTGCCCAAACTTGGGGACAGTAATCCGTCTCTTAGCAATGTTTCTGAAATCGCAGCTCGTTGCTACTTGGGGAGCAGGCTGGATCTGCAAAGCAGTGTGTTTCTGCAAATCTCTGATAGTTCAGGATGGCACCTCATTTAAAGTGAGCGGTGTGATGGAAAACTTGGGGTCCACTGGAAAGTGCGCGTTCCTATGAGAAGTGAGGGATTGAATACAGGACTGCATGCTCTCTTTTCCCTGGGTGTTTGTGGTTGGGAAGCGCCTTCGTTTGCTCACTGTCCCGAGACTGTGCTTTGTGTGTGACTGTTTGGTCTTCAGGTATGTAGCCACAGCCAGGACGGACAGGTAACTAGAGATGCATTCACGGTGGAGACAGAGACTGGACCAGGATGTGGAAAAGCCTCGAGAATGTGGGTGGGTGCTGCTCTGTTTGGCACTGCAGGTGCCCGTCTGTGTATGATCTTGGAGCTCCCGGCCCCTGGCGTTTGTGAATGGAAGCTGTGCATGTCCTGATACTCTGTGGTTCAGATTATAGGCTGACACTTATATTATAGGCTGCAAGGTGTGGCTTTGACTGCACTGGCACTGGAGCATCAGTCTCTGTCTTCTAGGAGCTGAGGTTAGCCTGGGAATCATCTGCTTTTTTGGAGCTGACAGGTGTCAAATTATTTGCTTTTTTGTTTGTTTTTCCTGATGGAACTTCCCTTCTGTGACTAAAAGTACTTTCAGCTCCTAGTATTTGTAGAATTGCGAGTGAAGACCTAATGCTCTTGTTTCTCTTTTCTCTCTTTCTCTCTCTCTCTCTGGTACCAGGGATCGAACTTATGACCTTGCGCTTGCCAGGCAGGTGCTTTTGCCTCTGAGTTAAATCTCTGGCCCCCTTTTTTAAGACAAGTTCTTACTATGTAGTCCAGGCTGAACTTACTGTAGCCTAGGCTGGCCTGGAACTTGCAGTGATCCTCCTTGCCTTAGCCTCCTGAGTGCTGGGACTGTAGGTACGTGCAACCATACCCAGCTTTATTTTTCTTGAATTCTGTCCCATTGACAAGAACACGTGCAGAGATTTTAGTTTCTCATCCTTATTTTTTTTCAGGCCACTGGGCTGAGGCAGGGGCTGGTGGAGTCAGTGCTGGGGAAGAACCTTCTGGAAGGTGATCTTTCTTTTTTTTTTTTTTTTTGTCTTTTTCGTTTTTATCGGTACCAGGGATCGAACTCACGACTGCTTGCTTGCAAGGCAGGCGCTTATGCCGCTGAGCTAAATACCCAGCCCCGGTGATCTTTCTTTTGGTGCGGAGAAGGTAGCATCTTGCCTATCCTGAGGTTTAGCAAGGTATGGGCAGTGGAAATGCTCTTCCAAAAGAGGCCGTGGAGTTTTTTTCAGGTTGGGGTGGCTCCTTGAAACTTGTTCACTCTCCTTTGCAGATCTTTTCATCACTCTTTTTGGCCCCTAGAAAGTGATCCTTTTCCTCAGGAGACTTGGTTATACCTCTTAGCCTTGTCAGCGCTTAGTACTATGCGGCTTTGAGAGACGGATACTTCACTGCGTAGTGTTAGCGTTTGTGGCCCGTGAACTTGTGACCTTTTTTTGACTTTTGCTTTCAATAAACCTTTGCAGGCATTAGGGTTTTTTAGGTTCTGTGTATGGGGTGCAAAGTCCTGGGAAAAAAGATTTGATTACTATTTGCAGTGGTTGATCTGGAATTAGAGGTAGGCAGTAGTTGAGAGTCTGTGCGGTTATTGGAGAAATTTGGGGGACTGCAAGGGGCTGAGTGGGCTTTACATTTTTGCTGCAGCATTTGGCAGTTTTAGGTGAAACAGGTAGTTTACGTCTCTGATGTAAGTTGGTACTAAAATGGTAGTGAGAGCAGGTGGGTACGAATTAGAGGGAACCAGGGCAGTAAATTACTTTTTATTTTTTTGAGACAAGGTCTTGCTCTGTAGTTCACTGGTCTTGGAACTCACTGAGTAGTCCAGGCTGGGCTCAGACTTGGGCAATCCTCCTGTGTCAGTCTCCTGAGTGTTAGAATTTAAAATTCTTCATGATGGTTACCATCTGCTAAGTCCTTGACAGCAACCCCCCCCCCCAGTGTGTTGCAGGTAATCTCACTACACACGATAAACGAGAAAGCAAGACACTGTAGCTGCTGTTTTAGATATCTTGTGAAAGTGATAACTAGTTTTCTTGCTTCTCATTAAATGTTCATTTATTAAAGATGCTGAAAATGTAAGTTTTGTTTTCTTTGTAATTTTCTTGTGGGAATTAAACCCAAGACTTTGTGAGTGCTGGGCATGCTCTGCCACTGAACTACACTTGTGCCCCATATAATATAACTGGTATTAAAACTTGTTTAGTATCTAAAAGGCATTTTCCTGGAGGCCATATATAATCATCAAAGATCATTTAATTACAAATTGAATATGTGTGTCCTTTTATTAAAGTGCCTTTACTCCAGATTATTTTTGTAATTTTAGGTGATCAGTGAGAAGTGGTTCTACTGGCAGTTAAAAATCTGTCGTAGCAGGGCATTTTGGCACATGCTTGTAATTCCAGCACACAGGAGGCTGAGGCAGGACGATTGCCATGAGTTCTAAGCAAGTTTGGAATACATATTGAAACCCCATCTCAGAGCAAACAAAATAAGAAATCTGTGATAATTTTTCTTAAACATGCCAAAGCTCTCTCTTGAGTTTCATAAGGATTGTGGTTTGAATTTAGGAATAAGGTCCTGTGTGGAGGATTCATTGGTCTTTCAGGTCACTTGATTTTTTTGTCTTGAATTACTTTCTCTTCTGAGTCTCTGGTTTTAAAGAATAAAACCACAGCCAGGCATGGTTTCTCATTCTTTTCATCCCAGCGCTTGACTGAGGCAGGACAATCAGCTGAGACAAGAGGATTGCCATCAGTTGAAGGCCAGGCTGAACAGCACAGTGAGACCCTGTCTGAAGAAACCAAACAAAACAACAAGGGATATAGCTCAGTGGCACAGCTCCTGCCTGGCAAGCACAGGGTTGACAGTTCAATTCCCAGTACCCACCCCTCCGCCCAAAAAGAAAAAACTAGAATTTGCTGGGTAATTTACTGTTTAAAAATGTCAGCTAGGGCATACACCTGTGATTCCTCCCTTCTTGGGAAGCTGAGCCAGGAGGATTAAAAGGTCAAGTTCAGTTTGGGCTGTTTGTTTGTTTATTTAGTGACTGTCTCCATATGCAGTTCAGGCTCACCTTGAACTCACTTTGTAGCCCAGCCTGGTTTTTTTTAACACACAACAATTCTCCTGCCTTAGCCTCCTGAGTGCGAGTGCACCACCTTGCCCGATTCAATTTAGTAGCAAGACCATGTCTCAAGAAGGGATAGGGATATAGCTAAAGCTCAATGAAGACTCTTGGTTCAGTTGGCAGTACCACACCAAAATACAAAGGAAACAAAAGAAAAATTGTATTCAGTGGTTCAGTTAAGTTTTTTGCAGATTAATCATTGTTGCACAGTGATATCTCATTTAAAACAAGTCTAAGCCACATATGCCCAAGTCTCAGCCATTTGGGAGGCTGAGGCGGGAGGATCATTTAATCCCAGATGTTCAGGGCCAGCCAGGAGTGCTCACTACATACTCCTGCCATAGGCAAGCTGCAGAGCACCCTTACAGGAGGGAGTGAGAGCCAGCCAGGACGCAGGAGCTGTGTGGGTATCTGGTGAGTGCTCACCAAGGTGTTTGAAAAAAGCAGATGTATAATCTTGGGAGGGGAGAAGGGGCGAGTCATTTGGGGGGAAAATTACTTGTCCTTTTTAATTGTTTATTTTAAAAGAATTTATTAATTTATTGCAGCAATGGGCCTCATGCATGGTAGGCAAATGTTCTACCATTGAGCTGCATCCACAACTAAGTCTGTGTTTTAAAACCCAGGCTTTTGACTCCAGAGGCGGAGGCGGAAGGAATGCAAGTTCAAGCCCAGCTTGGATGGTTTAGCAACTGCTGATTCTTTTAAGTGCTGGGGATGTAGCTCGGTGTGAAGACCCTGAGGTCAGTTCCTAGCAGAAAGCAAAAAAGGCTTTTGGAAGCTAAAGTGGCAATCTGG